AGGATTATCTCAAAATCTATTTTTATATTTCAAAAATGGTTAAAATCAAGTAGATCTATAAACATATGAAAATCTTGAAAATGGACGGTATAGATAATATGTTGTAAAATGCACTATTTTTTGAGACTTAAAATCTTTTCATAGTCATACATTTCGATGTCGAGATGATCAATCAAAGGGTTTTTTAACATTAAAACTACCTTTCCCGATGGATTTTTGAGGGGCATCCGTGGTTGTACATTATAAGGTAGCATCCTTATATAAACTTTTTCCTTCTTTTTATAAGGAGAAGGCGGGGTACGAGTGCCACATGACTATACTTATCACAGTAAATTTTCATATGTTTATAGAGTGCCACATGATGTCATGAACTTATCACAGTAAGTTTTACAAATACAAAGGAAATGACACCATGAAACAATAATCTAGGTAACTAGCTTTCAAATATATGCTATGCAGATAGCTCCTACAATAAAAAGAAAATCCATCCCCACATAGGCTACTGCTTTTTTTTAAAAAAAAATTATTCATTGTCGTATTAATATAAAGACTAAACGAAATAACAAAGTGTTAAAAAAAATGTATTCATTGTTGTATTAATATAAAGATTAAACCAAATACAAGTGTTAGGCAGCCCAAGGGGCTCAAAAAATGTTTTACATCCAAAATATAAACAAGATATTAATATACAAAAAATGGGGGGACCATGTGCTCAAAATGTTGCCCAAAAAATCCTTGCTCCCTATTTAGCAAGAGCGTCGATGCTAAGTTGGGCTCTACCAATGAGTAGCTCCATAACAAAAGTGGGATCCATGAATGAGTAGCTCCATAACAAAAGTGGGATCTATCCACAAGAGAGCCCTTCAAAGAGAAAATTTGGCAGCACTATCAATGCCATAAGAGCACATTCAATTCCTCTAAACCCATAATTAACTCAAATGTTACGCTTATTCTTTACACCATGCTCCACACCAGTTCACTATTTTAACCTAAGTTATGAGGCCTACAAATCAAATATTTCACATTTTCTTTACACAATCCCCTTCTTATTTCCCAGTAAATTATTTCCTAGCTAATGCTGACACCAAAAAAAAACATACTTCCTAACAAATGTGACAACTCTTAACTAGATGACTTTGAAAAAGCCTCAACACTAACTAGATGACTTTGATCCAAAACTTCATCCGATAATTATTATTCATTTAAAAAGACTCCTAATATTTTTCCTTTTTTTGAACTTTAGCCATGGCTCCTAATTATAATGAGACTTAGCAATGCTATTTTCTGACACCTAGTGGACTCGGCTGGACTGCCTGGTTCATCAATAGGCAACCCTATGAGAGAATATGGGGTTAAAATTCCTCCCCAGTTTACTCGGAAACCGTAGTCTGCAGGTTTTTGAGTAATATGGGATGTATATTACATGGTAGAATTTCTAGAACATGGGTCATTTTTTTGGCATACTAGTATTGGTTGTCTCTGATTAAAATTGTGAAGAACAGACTGCAGTTACCTCTTAAAAGCAGTTAGCTGGTGTTTTAAAATCTGCTTATTGTTCGATTGATGAAGATCTTTTTTCCATTTTCATTAGAAGCAATTTTGATTTGCTTATAACCGAGACACTTGTGAAATTATTGATCTTATGGTTAATATTCGTTGTCGTTTTTTATGCTTGCATACAAGCAATTGCTTGCTTTCACACTTCAAATATATTCCAAGTTCATGTGTCGTTCTGCTGGTAGAATGCTGCTAGTCAATAATGCGATAAGAAGAAAGGATTTTTTTTAAAAAAGAAGACTAAATGACGTGATACAAAGTTGAGATTCACAGGAACAATTTATATTGTGTCCTTTTACTATCATGAAACTGTGTTTTTTTTTTAAAATCATAATTAATGTTTTTGATGGATAGCTTAAATCCCTGTAATAGATCCTATATTAAAGCCCCTAGGCCCCCTCTGCAGAAGTCCTCAAAGCTGATGTCTAAGAAGTAGGAGGAACTGTGGACTTTCTCCTTTTTTTCAGGAACCAGGAACCAGTATAGATACGGTTCTTAAAAGACATTTTTTGAGCTTTCAAATGTTCTCAAAACACAGTGAAATTGGAGCTTTCAGATAGGTTGACAGTGAAATTGAGTTATGCAATTTGTCTATTAAATTGATCATTGGTTGGGTTTTGCAATTTGTCTATCACGGGAGAGAGAAAGAGTTGGGGAGCATGGGAAGAGAGAGAGTGAAAGACACATGGAGAGCAAAAGGGAAAAATACAAGAGGGGTTTGACAGAAGGGGAAAAGAGAAAGTGAATGGAGAGAGATCTAAAAAGGAAGGATGGATTTTAGAAAATGTATGTTTGTTTAGATTTGTTTAGCCTTTATATTATTTAAAAGAAATAAAATTTATAATTTTTACCCAACATATTGTAAAATGAAGCATAAAAATAAAAATAAAGGTATGAAGATATTTTTCAATGAAATATAATCACCTGCCATTAATCCAATTAATATAATCAAATGCACAACATTCAAATATGGTCATTAGCTGCCACTAATCCAAACACCCCTTCGATTTCAACTCTTGTTCATTTTTCATAAATTTTACACCAAGAAAACAAAATGTATAAGAAATATCGACAATATATTAAAAAAAAAAAAATCGTTGCAAAGGGTGAAAATCCCTTAAATTTTGAAATAAAATTTGTGCGTATGAGTTTCTTGGCACATTCATCACCGCACATCAAGCGCATGTGGGTTTTTCTTTAGAGAGAGAGAGAGAGAGAGAGAAGGTTTTCTTGATAGTGATAAATGATTTTCTTGCTGACCCAACAAGAGCCAGGGGAGAGAATAAGAATGGTGAGCATAGGACAAGGAGAGAGAAAATGAAGAGAGAGAGAGGAGGCACAAGATTAGAATCAAAACCCAGAGAGAGCGTGTACCTCTTCGTTGTTGTGAGAGAGAAGAGATGCCCAATCTGATTTGCACCCAATACTCTTTCGCTAAGAGAGGTTGCTCCGCTGCCGATAGCTTTGGAGACGAGATAGAGGAAGGAAGGAAGGGACACAGAGATGGGCGTTTTGTCCCTGGCTCAGGGAAGACGGGAGAGAAAGAGAGCAAATTTTAATAACAGCTATGCTCTGCTCTGCTCTGCTCTGCTCTGCTCCTGTACATCCATAGAGAGAGAGACAGAGAGAGAGAGTTGCTCTTATGAAGAGAGAACTTTCGGGCCGCATCTGTCCTGATTTTTAGAGAGAGAAAGATACTCTTTTACCCTAGTTTTTTAAAGAGAGAGACAGAGAGGGCTCCTGCCGTGACCGCATAGAGTTCTTGTAGGTCACCCTTTGCTTGTTTGGGAGTAAGTAAGTTAACCGATAAAGCACCCTCTTTTTCTTCTCATGATCCAATGGTGATCCTTTGAGATCTCATGCTATATTGGCTATGGCAACGTCCTATAATAACATTACTCTTTTAAAAGAGTTTCAAATCAAATTTACACGTATATTCTATTTTTCCCTTTTTTATTTTTTCAAAGTCCCCTTAATTTGGAAATTACAAGTTTCAAACAGATTTCTTGCACATTTTGGTCAGAACTCCCAACCTCTAAACATATTCTTTTTTGGTTAAAATTGATGTTGACACTTGGGGTTTTTAACTTAAAATTTAAATAAAAATAATATTTTAGAGACTCAAGTTTCAAACCTGTCTTTTTTACTATTTATTAAACAAAATTCCAGAGGCTTTTTTAAATACCCCTAAGTAGTGGCATCTCGGTTCAGTTCATCCATAAATCCTCGGATCCGAAACTATTGAATTTTGGATCTAAGAGAACTCTTGGATGCGATCCTACAATTTGAAGATCACCATCTCTTTGAGCTCCCATCATGGAATGTCAGATCTCGGAAGACCTACTCAGAAAATTTTTATCGATCTAAAATTTTGGAAACCGCTTAAGAAGTACTAGATGATTGTCGTAAAAAAAATTAAAATTAAAATTTGAATTTTCTGATGCTTATATCTCACCTTCTAACAATTGGAGGGCTCTTTTCAATTTCAAAACATTAATTTTTTCAAGTTTATATAGAGTACAATTAAATTTTTTTTTATTGAAGTTAATCCATGGTTGAATAGGTTACGTCCTCAGAGTTTTAGGTTTGAAAATTAGTTCTAAGTAGGGTTTTACCTGAGAGAGTAAATGAACATTCGCAGGAATAGAATATCTTTTGGCCTGCACAAAATGACATTAGCACTGAAGAAGTGATGATGTCAACCCCATATCGTGCTAGTAAATTGCTTACTAAGAATGTACACAATATAATACCATGCCTGTAGAAATGGCATGTTTAGGGAACTCATGGTTGCTCTTGTAAGATATAAAACCTAAGCAGATGGAGACGATTTTCTGAGTGTAGAGAAAAGTGAGAGATGGTAAAAAATGGACTAAGGTTTCATTAGAATAGAAATGTGATATAATTACATGTTTTCCATCTATTCATTAGCAATAATTACCTGTGTCCTTGGACTATAATGGCACTCTTAGTGCTGTGATACATGGTATATACTCCACAGACTATATATAGTTTATACAACGCTATCTTGTACATATAGTTGATTCATAATTGATTTCCTACAGCTCTCTTCTCATCATTCAGCTGATTAGTCCTAGATAACCTTGAAACTGAGGATTCATTGATATTAGATGGTGCAGATATCACACACTATAATCTTTGATATACCCAAAACTTCTTTCTTTATCAAATGAAAAGGTAAAAGGACGTCTGGAAGATAATACAGTTTCGCTTGAAGACCCGATTAACTCGTTTTTTATTTTTCTCATAGTTCTCATGGACGGTCCATTGAGATTGGCTCTACAATGGACGGTCCATGATTCTCATGCACCATAACACTATAAAAATGTACATGATCATTCTCCATGGAAATCAATTATTTTTGTAAGTTCAAGGTTAGCTCCCTTTTGGTGTTCTCAATTTTCGAAAAATGAGGATCTCCATTGGTGGGTTGAACTGGATGAAAAAAGTAGGACGGAAATGATGATTTATCAACAACCAATTGTCCTCAATATATATATATATATAAAGGGTAAACTTTACAACAGCCGGTCAGCTATAATGAATAGTATGTAAGTAGAATGTGAACCATTAGTTCTTCATCATATGGTTCAGAATACACACTACTATTTAAATTTTAATTTTTTTTTATATAAATGTGATTAATATGAAAATTTGGATGCATATAACCAACACTAATGTGCACCATATAAAAATATAAAAACAATATTTTCAATAATTTAAAATGACTAAAATACCCCCATCATTTTTCAGAGGTATTTCGATCATTTTATATTTTAGAAAATATTTTTTATTTGTGCGCCGTATTTTTTAGTACATATGTCTAAAATTTCATTATGATCCGATTTATAAAAAAATAATGAAAATTAAAAAAATAATATACATTCTAAACCGCATGATGAAAATCTGATGGCTCCCATTCCACTTATATTACTATTCATTATAGCTAGCTAGCTATTGTTAGCTTTTTCCATATATATATATATATATATATATCAACGGCCCTAATCTTTTAGAAGATAAAACACATTTCTTGTTTTTTATACTTGTAGTGGAAAAATGATTTCAGCAGTTACCGGCAATTCTCGTCATTTTTCATGCGAAATGTTAAACTGGAAAAAAAAAGATACATTGGACATATTCATTCTGATCATTTTTCTTGCGAAATGTTAGGCTAGACAAAATATCATTAGAAATGTGCTTTATGCTATCCAATTTTTCTTCGTTAGATCCATACCAATATTCATCATGTTATACTGTTGGTTTTTTTTCGATATATCCCATGCTTTCGGTAGGAATGGAATGGAATGCATGGTAATATCCATACTCATATTAGAAAAGTAACTCAAGACATTTGTAGTACTCCACTTATGCTTTGAGTCCATTCCCATCTAGTTGTTTTCTTGAGGAAGATATATGTTATCGAAGCTAGACTTTATTGAAAATATTCATGCCACCCAATTATTATTTATTTTTTTTGAAGTTATCTTACCTAGTTGTTTTTTAAGAGAGAGGTTGGTTAGATATAGAGGAAGGTGAAGAACTTCTAGACATAGAAATGCAAGCTGAGAGACGGGAGGAGATAGGGAAAAGTAACGGAGATAGAATGAGTGGGGCGGAGATGGAAGAGGAGCGGCCGAGGGACTTGATGGTCATTAGAAATACTGAGGTTAGTTATTGCAAAGATTAATTTTGATTAAGAAAGTAAGCAGGGTTTCGGTGTAAGATTTGAGAGAGTTTAGAGCCACCGGTATGTACTACAATTACATAGGAAAGGTGTGTTTGAGGCATTCATTTTGGTTAGTGGCCCCGGTAAATTCTCCATTTTCTTTTCCAACAAAAGGTGAGATCTATGGGGGACTCCATTCTTTAGAAAATGGATCGATGGCAACTCAATCATGCACTTGGAAGATCTGGATTGAGGATCCTGAAAAGCAAATTGGTAAGTAATTAGAAAAAATAGCATTAGATGAAAATATTTGAGAATCTTCAATCCCATCTAGGACGAGGATTAGGATCACCCACCTATCCTAGGCAATCACAGTTGCACCAAGAGTGTTTTTTTGTTTTTTAAGTTGGAGACCAAGGTAATAGTAAACACAGCACCCCTGGAGAGCACGTGAAGAAATCAGATATAATTTTAGCAAGATTTGTGTATAAAATGACAAACATCCAACTGGCTAGTTTCACATTTGATGACGAACATATACCTAAAGTAAACAATGACATGATCGTCAAAAGCTTTTTCTTTTTATAATTAAAATTACAAACAAGCAAATGAGAGAGGTTCAAAATTCTTAGCTCCCATAATCCCATTTTGTGATCGAGCCTCTGCCTGTTCAATAAGGCCGATGAAATTGCGGACAATCCTTAGTGGTTATAATGCTCTCTGGATGGAACTGAACACCCTATAATCCAAAGACAGCAAAACTTCAATATTGCTTAATGCATCAACTGTAATCCCATAGTTAAAATTCGTACTTGTATAAGGAAGTAGATATTTAGACGAGCAAATGTACAAGAAAGCATACTTGAAATTCAGTAATGCTAGTCTAAAAAGGAAGTGCGAGTTTCTTTGCCAGCAAAGTCCCCCATTGCTTCACTTCATTAAAAGGAGAGCAATTACATTTTGACTTCAAAATTCTTGCATTAGTTCAAAGCCTGGATGCCCTAGTCTCTCATGCAATATGGGTACAACTATCAAAGAGAGACATTTGATGCATGCGAATATTAACCAAATAAAATATATAAACATGGAAGAGTTTTCTCTTCCTATGCCATTTTCTCATTGATTACCAAGATATCAAATCATGCACAAAAAGGCAACAAGTAACGAACCTGCTCTCAATAATTTGACCAACTGAGATAAGATTCTTGAATTAAAGTTTGGAAAGATAGAATGCAATCTGTAATGGTAAATATTTGCTTACTAGAGAATCAAGAGCATAGGACCACCTTATGAAACCTACAAGGTAGATCCGTACATGGTATTGAACACATGTACAAGCACTAATCAGTCACATCGTTTTGCAATCTAATATTGTCCTAGCAGTTTTGCAGTACTTGGAATTTCGATTGTCCACATTCATTAGACTTTGAAACAAGAAAAAGCTACGAATATATGGACGTTAAAACTGTTAGTTGATAAATAACTCTTTTTTTGGGTAGGTTCCAAATATTATTCATCTCTCTCTCTCTCTCTCTCTCTCTCTCTCTCTCTCTCCAATGCCTGTGCATCCCACAGTTCTAATAATTCAGCACTTCACTAAAACTTTATAACTCTTAAGTCCAATAAAGCAAAAAGAGCTCATCAAATTTCACATGTAAAAACAGAATACAATTAATTTCCAATTACCAACTACAGATCCCAATATGACATGCTTACATAAATCACCATGTATAAGCAGTAATTCCAAAGCATGCAACACAGAAATATTGCATCATGTAGACCAAATTACATGCTACGCATAGATCAAAATGAAAATACAACAATAGGGAAAAGAAAAAAAATTACGAACAGACATGAAGAAAAAAGAAGGTACACTAAAATCCATTGGACTGGCAAAAACGATAATCCAATGAAATCATCACCATACAATGAAATGATGGGCATTGATGGAAGGACAATTTAACCCAATGCTGGTATCATTTCATGTTCTGATGGCCCCATTGAGTCCCTCTAATTGTGTACCATTTCCAAGGACGGCGATGAACCAAATTGACCATGCTC